GGGAGGCCTAACTGATGAGTATTACCATGGTTAATGTATCAGGTGGCCTAATGCATTAGTAGCTTTTCAGTTCTTGAAAGAATGTGAAGAAATAAAAGGGATTCAGAATGTAGTTTTAGGATTTAAGGGAGGCAGAAATATTTTTATATTTTATATAGTAAATTTTTATTTTAAGATAACTACCTAATACTGAAGGGAGTATATATTTTGTTTAAAAACATTCTTGCACAGTTTTCTTTCTCCCCAGTTCTTAAAGTTTGTGGAATCCTGGGCCAGGGGACTGTCTTTTTTGTAAAATTTCAATGTGGTCCTATTTTAAGAAGGATAAATAAAGACTTAATATTAAAAAGTGACACACACAGCTATTAACTAAATACAAATGGAAACTGTTTTCCCCCTCCTTGCCGTTAAAGGACAACGTAATTCTGCGAAGACTCTGGTTTGACAGCTGTTAAGAAGAATTCAGTATAGATTTATCTCTGGGCAGCACATTTGAACAAGGAATCACAATGGGACGGAACACAGAAACATTTCCAAGCATATTAATGGAATAGTGCGGCTCCTACTAGAGATAAGTAAGGCTCCCTTCCCCCCAGTCCATACACATCATACACATATGCAACACCACAGGACACAGTAGTGGGATGAGAAAGGATGAGGGATTGAGATGCCAGGCTACCACAAAATGCCACCAATTACTTAACATTTTAAGACTGGACAAAGAGTCCTTTTATTTCCAAAGGACGGGGGTGAGGAGCAAAGTGACATTATAAATCTGATTCACTGTGCTCAACAGTCAAAACAACACAGAACTCAACATTCAAGACAAAAACAGGCCTTTATTTTCTTTTATAATTTTCAATTGGTTTCCTTGATTTTTTTTCTAAGAATACCAATTAAGTCAACTGGGGCTACTGTTGCAACTGAGAATATGAAAGCACCTTTATTTTCTTCTCTTTTTGCCCTCTTCTTCTTCTTCTTCTTCTTCTTCATCTCCTCACTTCTCTTCTGGTTTCTCTTTTTTAAACTTCGGCTCTTCTTCCTCTAGAAGAGGCTTGCTTTGGAAGATGAGGCAAGCAGTTTTTGAGTTTGGCTTCCCAATTGACTTTCCTTCAATATACCAGTTCAGCCATTTGGAGCACTGGCAATTTGCAATTTGAAAGAACGTTTTCTGAAAGTTGGCAAAGTGTAGAAGACCACATGCGAACCACAGGACGTATATAGGAACCTTCTGCAATTCCTAATGAGGATGTATCGCTGCTACAATGAAATTTTAATTTGTATCCAGTTTATTCAGGAATTCTGGGTCTGTGGAGGAAGAAATTCCCTCCCAAATTTTATTTATGTTTACAATGTGTAAATTAGTCCTGTATCAGATGACATACTCTTCCAATTTTATTAAAGCAAAGTGAACATACAAAGTTGTCTTTCCGATATAAAATTTCATTGGCTGATAATCTGAGGATCACAGTGAAGTTACTGATGGATCAACTTGTATTCTGCATTGTGAGGTGGGGGGGGTCATTTCTGGCTGTATCCTACTTGGCAGGGGTGAAAGAAGACCCTCTATTGTCTCATTTCTACTCTAACTACACTATGGAATATGGTGACTCTAGGAATGTGGTATCACAACGATTTACTGTCCGGTTGTTTCAGGTTGCCCATGACTTCCGGGTGGTGATAAAAAACAAAGCTCAAGGAAAAACATTAGCTACTGCAAAATAATACGTAGTTTGTTGAAACTTTCTGGCAAATGGCTTATTAGCAGATGATAATGCCTCTCTCAGATACTAAAAGGTCTTTGGTTGACGTATTCCCCTACATTCATGCTCGGTGGTTTCCAAACTTTTTTGATTGTGCCTCTTTACCAGTTAAAACACTTCCATTGTTGTTAACTTACATACATGCGTTATTGTATATTAATAGATATGCATGTTATAAAACAGACACAGAAAATAAATTCGAAAGGACGAGTTATAAAACCTGAGGAGAAATTCCAATGTTTTTTCCTCCTGTACCTAATGGCCCCATATGTACAGAGACCGTGACTGTGACTCTCCCTGGGCAGAGTACGCCTCCCTCTCATTTGCATTTCCCACTCTTCTCCCAGGCACCAACGTTTCAAGTGAGTGATGGTTTCCTCTACTTTATACATGAAGTACTCCAAAGAGGGCTCCCTATTCTGTGACTGTGTAATTGTTATGACAGTTTATTGTGTGATTTCGTTCAGGTTTCTTTGGCGAACATGAAGGAGAGCAGAATATGAATTTGGAGACCTAAAATTTCCTTCTGGTGCCCTCCCCGTCTCCCTGCCTCTGCAATGACAATGTTGAAGGAGAGGAGCACATGAAAACCAAACAGAACGCGATGCGTATACCAAAGGGGACTCTTGAAGAAGCAAGCCAACAACGGATAACCGTTTCTGGGACATGTTTTGGAAGGGAACTGTACTCTTTTTAAAATTGGACAATGATGTCCTCGTGGAAACAGTTGTTCCTTCCACAACACAGCTGGGTCACGAGCACAGCAGGCTGGGAAAAGCTAAGTCACAAGTGGGAGAGAAGGCTGGACATAGTAGCATTAGTCACCGGTCAGATGTGAGAGGCATCTGTTCTCGCGCAGCCGCAGAGTGCTCCGGAGGCTCCCAGGCTGAGGGCGTCAGGTTGGTGGAGCGCTGTTCTTGTCAGGAAGGGCAATTAACATTTGCATTGAGACACGGGACTGGTTTCCGTGAATACTAATTTGCTAGCACGCCATAATAAACAACTTATTTATATGTAAGGTGCCAATTAAACTTTTAATGGGTTCAATGTAGACAGGTTTAATGTTTCTCGGTTTTATGCTAAAGATGATTATGTATTCAGGAGTTTACCCTCTAATTTGAATTGTCTTCTAATTAAATATTAGATCTCTTAATTCATGCTTTTATATAAGCCAGTAGCTATGCCTAGCATTGTAGAACTGGAGGGAGGGCAGTTTGTTATGGCAGGAAAAA